ACAAGAGGCCAAATTTGAAATGAGGTCAAAGGCAATATTAGGAAGCTGGGTGAATGCACGCAACACTGGTCCAGGCCTTTCTTGGTTCAAAACAATTATTATCTAATTTATTTCTCTAAAATTTGAATTTATAATATTGTTCTCTATAAATCAATTTACTTGGTTGATAAATGTTAAGAGAACTAGAGGAAATACATTCCACATTATCTTCTAAGGCAGATTCAAAAGAAAGGCTCATTCTTTAGTCATCAAAACATACTTAATACTGCTGGAGCAAAAACTAGGAGGTGAAGAAGAGCTGAGAATTATACACTCATAGGAATATTTTGTTAAAAGTTATTAGGATTAATGATCACAGCAAAGAGACTTCAAAGACATGATTTAGAATACTTTTGCAGAACTTCACCAAAAACTAGTAACATAAATGCTTCTGTTCACGTAAGAACCCAGGAAATAAAATAACCTTTATTGCAATATCCTCTGTCTCTGCGGGCCGTAGACGTCGTGTTGATTGCTCATAGCTGTCCAGGTGATATCTTCCAGGCTGCTTCCTGTTTATAGTTTTCGGCTGCGGCATCCCAAATGGAAAAGAATGCAAGTCGAAGCTTTATGAGAAAATTGAATTTTCACTGAACATTAACTCACATTGCTACTTTTCCACTTAAATTCCAAGAAAAAGAAACAAGTGAATTACTTTCATATTTAAATTATTATGACAGCTTCTCCTAAAAAAAGCAAATAATAAAAAATTGTTAAGCTATAATTTTAAACCTAACTCACATGCCTTGTAAGAAAAATGAAAATATAATATGAAGATACAATACTTACAAAGGATGGAAGTTCAAGTATTTGAGTCACAAACTACGTTTTGGGCAACCTTTCTACAGTGGTATGGATGAATATACCCAGGCAATAAAATACTGTGTGTTGTGTCAAAAGGTGATAAGATTAACTCAGGTCAAACTAGAATCCACTGGTCAGGCTATCGGGCTTATAGACAATTGAGTGCTACATTATTGATCATCCTCTGAATCATGAGGATTTTGAATCTGATACACTCACGTAAATCAGATTGAGCTGCACATCACCCAAGAATTTATTGTGGACTAACAAAAGTATAAAGATTTAGAAATTTTTGCCCAAAGATGTACAGTGTTTCATATGGAGATCCATAAGCTACATAGAATGATCTAGTCTATATCCAATGTTATAGTGCTATTCCTAGTCAACACACAAAAGCATCCTTTGCAAAGAGGATGCCAGCTGAAGTGTGACAGTCTGCACACATTTAAAGTGAACTTTAGTTAGATCATAATTAGAAATCTGTCATTCTCTAATTTTTAGTTTAATTTCACATAGAAATAAATGGCTAAAGAGAAGGTAGAATATTTAGCTCTGTAAACCTCGAATTTGAAAAAATTTAAAAGCTCAAAATTTCTTCCAGAAACTTAATGAGCAAATATTCCAACGTAAATAATTATCTGTCTTACTTAAATACTTTAGAGAGAATATGAAGGCTAAATAGTCATATACTTTAAAACTGCTAAGTTACCTAAAAAACAAAGAATTTTAGAATTGTGAAACTTTTTTTTTTGGCCTAGAATTGCAGGTTTAGCTTTTTGAAAAATCCACTGGGTTCTACTATGGGCTTTAGGAATGTCCTTGAACAATCAGTAATTTAATCCAAACAAGATATTGCTCTTCCAATTTCCATCAACTGGTGTATCAACAGCACATCAAACTATCAAATAGTACATTGCTAGGCTACATGCAAATAAATACACACATTAAAAAGCCACTGAGAAAATTGAAAGCTAAGTACAGCAATGGTCTGTCACATAGAAAACACTACATACATTTTGACTTAGAGAGAGAGAGAGAGCATATATTCATGAAACTTTATTTTAGCTTTATTTTTTCTTCCCACAGCCCTCACAGACAACCCTGGAAGTACACTGCATGAGATGTTGTAGAAAGCCACTATCCTTTAGGCTAAATATATTTTCCACACAAAACAGGTCCATACCTATATATATATAATTCAGTCTTCTAAAGTCTTTAATTCTACAGCAGTATTGCCCCCAGAGATCTAAAAGGAATGACTTCACGCCCTTCACAAAACTAAGAAGAGGGTGGGAAGAAGAGACGTGTTGACAGAGATTTGAGTCGGAGCTCCACAGATGTAATTTAAAGAGTCGTTGGCTCTAGAATGCCACTAATTCTCCATGGAGATTCTACAGCCAAAACCACTTAACTCCAAGCTTTTACAGAATACATAGTATCTTAAGCGCTCTCAAGAAGGAGTTTCCATTAGTGTTATTTTCAAACACACAGCTTTTTTCACTCCATTTAAAAACGTTTGTCATTTGTGGTTTGGCCCATCAGCAGTGATGAATGACCCTGAAAGACATCAGAAGTCCAGCCTGGTTTCAATAACCCTGAAGATATTGGATGCATTTGAAGGGGATTCTTTTTTCTTTCCAAAAACCTTCCCTCAGTTCAGTTTTTCTTCTATCCCTCATCTCAAACAAACAAAAATTAGTTACATTTCCCCAACTCCATGAACTTGACCTCCTATATCCCTTTTCCTGAGATCATCTCACTGTGTTCATCTCCACGTCCGTGAAAGACGATCGAATGAGTTCTTTCGCAGTCTAGGATCATCCAAATTATGTGATGAGGCTGGTTCTAATCAAATATTTCCTTTCCTGCTGCCTAAAAGTATTGACACTCTCTAATGTATTTCTGTCTTCGTATCCATGTCCACACAATACCACGTGAGCATTTTGAGGCATCATTACTCCAGTGTATATAAGCATGCGTGGTACTTCCTTCTCCGACAAAATCATACCTGCCCTACAAAACAACTTAGAAAGCAGAAGAGTAATTCCAGAAAAGCAGAAGAAAACAGTAAGTCTAAATAAAGCCAAATGCTTGTCTTAACTATTGTTAGCAGTTTTAAACATGATATAAAAAATTAATATAGATTGACTCCCTGGTAAAGGCTTTCCAAGTTTTAATCAATTCTAGTAAGAAGACTGCATGTACATTTTTGCTGGGTCACATAAATGATAAACATGTTCATATTTTTATCTAATAGTAACATGAATAACTAATTTTAAATTATAACATGATTCACTTTGGAATAACACCTTTCTACTTTACTGTTATGAGATATATATTAATTTGAAAGAATTTCTTCAGAATTTTTCAGACACACCCTTCAAGAAAGTGGTCTCCTTCAGTCCCATTGATTTAAATGTTATCTAATGGCTAATGACTCTTACATTTACATCTCCAATGCTGATGTCTCTTCTTGGATTAAGAAGAATCTCAAAATTAGCATGTGCAAAATATACCTCTTGATGTCACCTCAACATCCATCTACTCATTTCTCCGCCTCCCTATTTCAGTTAATGGCTACATGGTCTACTAATTGCTCAAGCCAATAATGTAGGATTCCTCCTTGAGTTCTTTTGTTTCTTCATCTCCTAATCCAATCTACCAGCAAGTTTTTATCAGTTCAACCTGAAAAATGTACACTGAATTTGATCACTTTCTCACAATGTCCATTGCAACTGCAACAAGAACTCTAATTCTAACCATCGCCATCTCTTGCCTATGTGATTATAACAACCTCTTTACTGATCTACCTGTTCACTTTGTCCCCATTGACTTCTCTCTACACAGCACCCAAAGTGATCTTTTAAAAATATAAATGAAATTATGTTAGTCCCTACTTTAAAACCTTCCAACGATTTCCTATTGCACGTAGATAAAATCCAAACTTTTTCCACGGTCTACAAGAACCTCGATCATTGTTCTTACCCTGTCTCAACTTTCCCCTCTTCGCCAGGCTCCAGCCATAGTGCCCTTGTGTTCCTTGAATACACCAATGTAATTCCTATCTCAAGGTCTTTGCATCTGCTAGTTCTCTTGCTTGGAATTCTCTCTTCCCAGATCTTTGCAGGAAAGGTACCTAGGTGCTCTTCATTCAGGTCTCAGCTCAACCCTGGCTCTTCAGAGGGCCTTCTGGGAAATGCCCACCTTGCTTCAAGTACTCCATTCACTCTCTGATACCCTCTTTTATTTTCTTCACACAGTGAAACTATCTTATTGTTTTAATTTGTTTATAATCTGCCTCCTGCCTCAAGAAAGCAAACTCTGTGACAGGAAAGCTCTTGTGTGCCTTGTTCATAGCTACATCCCTAGGTCTTGCCACAAAGTACAGGGTAGTAAGTCAGTCTAAAAACACAGACAAATACATAATAAATGGTTTATTTATTACATATACATGACAAAATAATACTATGTTTCCAGGCTTTATGTAGATACTAAGTATGTATCATGGAAGAATGAACTGTTCTGTAAATTACAAGACTCACGTTTTAATTCTCACTCTGCCACTTACTAATCTTATGACTTTATTCAAACCATACAACATGCAAACTCAATGTATTCAGCTGGAAAATAAAACCAAGTAATGTAATATATTAAATGGATCAAAAAACCTGATGCAACAGAAAGCATGTTTTCAACTAAAAAATGTAATATAGCTAAAAGGTATTTTAAGAATATGGTGCAGGAGTAGTAAGCTTATTTGTATTGTTTTTACACAAAGCTTGGGGTAGACAACCTCTCAATTTCCTTTCAAATTGAGCATGTGTTGTCCCTCTTAGAATAATTCTTTCATGACTTATAAAGACAAGCCTTATACATTTATTTATTGATTTTAGACTTGTGAGGCTGTACAGGAGCAGGTAGAAATTTTTCTTCATATAGGTTAAAAAATTGTTTATAATTTCTTCTACTTGCACCCCTATTAATCCACCCATTCTGCTGAGACTGTCCACTACTCACAGCCTCCACAACAAGAAAAAGCACTTACAACTCCAGTGTGTTTCTTGCAGGACTCAAAAGGAAGAGAACCTTCACCAGTTCTCCAACTGTCATCACCAATCTCATCACTCAAGAGAAACTCATTCAGCTTTTGAACACTGCAAAAAAGCAAACAAACAAACACAGAATAACAGTTAACAACAAAAACCACCTCCAACAAAGTACTACCTAAATAAATTTCCTGCATTACCATGGTGAATAGCCTGTGAGAGTCATTTTTCAAGACCAACTGGGAATTCAGCGAGATTGACCAAACATCCTAAATTGCCCGGGACTGAGGGGTTTCCAAGAAATGGGACTTCCAGAGCTAAAACCAGAAAATCCCAGGAGAATTAGGACCATCGGTCACCCTAAATTCAGCAGAATTTCCTTTGCATTTTTTTTTTTTTGCAATTATATTCTTTGCCAAAGATAGTGGAGTTGGATGGGAATTTGAAACAGGGTGGTTAAAAATAATAATACCAATGAGGAAAGTATTTTTATTATCCTAATTTCATAAATGAAAAGAAGTGAGGTAGTTAAGTAACCTGCCTGAAATCACTTAGCATATAATATGCAGATCTGTGGTCCCTGGCCACCGTGTATCCTGCTGAAGCACTATACATTACACGTATTTTCTGAACCTGGCAAGGAGCGGGCCCTCCAGAGTCCTGCTACTCAAAGTGTCGTCCAAGGACCACCAGCACCAGTGTCAGCTGGGAACTTATTAGAAACAAAAAAATCTCAGTCCCCATCCCCAAATATGAATCAAAATGTGCGCGTTAACAATTTCCAGAGGCGCTTCACAAGCACATTGGAGTGTGAAAGGCCCTGCTCAAGAAGACTGGTTTGCAAACATTTACTGTGGTCTCCTTTGGCTGGGCACAAGACTCCTTGGCTCATTTACCTACTCATTCTAATCTTCTGAAACCAATATCATAGGATCTGCAGCAAAAATAAATACATAAAACAAAGAAAACAATAACATGGTTTGAAAACATCCTCTGACAAATAAAATAATACACAAAAGAAAATTCGGTTGCAAAGGGAAAGAAATGCTCCTTTTAGCATGCTAGGATGCTGAAAGTGGACAAACTTGTTTGGTGCACGCAGCATCAAGGATGGGGGAGATACTGCCTTTGATAAGAAACTAGAAAATATATATTTGAAATAAAAGGTTTCTTTTAAAAAAAATTCATTTGAACTTGTAGTCAAGTGCCTCCAGACAAGTCTGCAGAGTTTGTTTTTGTGATATGCAATAAAATGGAAAAAAGCAAATTTAATTGTCTGTTGTCCATGATCTTCAAGCCCTTTGGCCTCGCAGGCCACAGAAACATGAAGATAGATAAAATGCATTGGGGCAGTCTAACTATTAACTTCCAAATTGCACTTACAGAGAACTAAGAGAAATAGTTGTTATTAAGAGCTTCATTTTGTACACGTTCTTTGAGTCTTTGTCAGCAAAGTCTGACAGTATAGACTTGAAAGACACAGTGTTAGAAATGCCTTAGGAAATAGCATTTTATTCATCTTAAATGGCACTGAATCCTGTCTTATTTTTATATGATAGATTATAATTGTCATGCAGTTCCTATGTTTTGAAGACATTTGATTTTGAGAAGCACAGCTCTATCAATCAAAGGAATGAATACCTTTCAAACAATCTCACACTATGTCTCTGCACACAAGGGAAAGTACAGAAGCCAGGCTCATTTGCCTTTGTAACTCCAAATCTAACACCACCTGGCACACATTGTTCAATGAATGTTTTATGAGTAAATCAAAGATGGAATAAACCAACAATTCAGACATTTAAGTAAAGTTGGTTAATTCTCCATCTCACTTTTCTAGCATAGACACAAACCTCACTGAAGCTTTCATAGAATAAATGAGCCCCATTGTTGCTGAACATCAGAAACAATGCTCCCTGAACTTAATTGCAGGTGGGGAGAACGTTCTCTTCATAGCATCCCACTTTGAATACCAATTACAAGAAACATTAATGGACCCCAAGACTAACCCTTCTCCGAACCCGTCTCCCCTTCCCCTCCCACATCTCCAATCATTCTAAGGTTCCTTACTGAGAATCCCCCTGTAGTGATATTTTGTCATTGTTTTGTTACTGTTGGTTACATGTCTCTCTATCCCATTAGATGGTGAACTCCTAAAGAGCAAAGATTTTCATCTTCAGAATCTAGCCCAATGCCTAAAATACAGCATGGTAATTCCTTAAGACATGTCTGGTGAATGAATAAATGGGTAATACAAAAAGTATTTCCTGTTCCTATGAGGTCCTTTCAAAAATCAAAGAGGCAAAACAGTGATGGAAAATGTATGAATCCTGACCAAAGGTGAAGTAATTTCCACCACCACGCTGCCAGGGTTATATTTTTAAAATGCAAATATATTCATGTAACAGCCCTCTCTTTAAAGCAACAAATGGCACCCTTTGCCTTTTCGCGCCTTCAGCATCTAAAAGCTGATTAGGATTTTACTCTCCTGCTTCAAGCCCTGAAATTTTCCACATCAGAACTTTTTCTAGAATGACATTGAACTACTTCAGTCCCCTGAATATAGCAAGATTTCTCACCTACTTATTCACCCTTTCCCCTTGCATATCTTGTTTCCTCTGACAAAATATGTTTTTCCTTTTTTCTCCAACTGGCCAAGTCTTAACTTAGTTTTTAAGATACTATGAAAGAGCCACCACCTCCTTTTAAATCTTTACTGACCAGATAGTCCTCCTTCCTCTCAGTAAGCTTCAGTGATCATCACACATGGGCCCATGGCATTCTGTGATTACCTATATCACACCACGTTAACACACCGTATTGTAATTAGTTTCCCTTTCCAATCTCTCCAACTAGACTGTGGACTCCATGAGGACTTCTGTCCACCTTTTACCTTTGCAATCCCTAATGCCAAGCAATGTGCCTGAGGTATTAATAAATGAATGTAGACCCACAGAAGACGCTCTGAAACATGGAGTGGATATGGGTAAAATAGTGATAAATTAGTAAAATGGAGATTTGTCAAATTTATGAAATATTTAGGCAATGTGCTAGGTACTTTTTGTGTATTATCTTGTTTAATTTTCTTAACCATCACAAATAAACAGGGGGTGTTATTGTGCCCATTTGACAAGTGAGGAAGCTGAGCTATAGAGACACTAAATAATAAGTTTGATGTTTGAGGTCAAACAATGAGTATTTCATGGCAGTGCCAGGATTTGAAAACAGATATATTTGATACCAATCAATTTGCTATCCTGATTCCACCACTTTTCTAGTTCAGTGTTTTACTAATTTCTCATTTGTTTAGATTATTCACAAAAGTATTTAAGGTCTTAGTTACATATGTTATTTTTTCACTTCTCAGATTTCACTTTGTATGTATAGCTATAGCTTGGACAGGTGCTGTATTAATTGGGAATAACTGATTTTGTTGCTGGCGGTCACATGTATTTTCTGTAGGAATTAGGAAAGTTTGTAAACTGGAAGACAACGACCAGGCCAGAGTGTAAATGTGCTTTATGATAAATATCAATACAACTTATTTGACTGAAGATAATGAAGTAGGCTGGCCAAGCATACATTCCTTTGCAAAGTACATGAGAAAAAGGACGCAGAGTTATTTCTCAACAAAAGGAAGGGATTTGTTTTATACTTTTTCCCTTTGGCAAATAACATCTTTGGACAAAGATATTGCATTATACGTGAAATACCAGAAACCTCAACTCAAATTATTTATAAAGGATGCACATATTTTCCTTCAGAAAAGCAAAACACATAAATTATTTCCTTACAAATAAAGCAAAGCAGAGAAGTGAGGCAGGTATCCTGAAAAACGTCGTTCATTCCAGTATTTTAATATTTTAGATAATAGTGATTTTTCATCACTCTGTTGTGCAAACGTAGACAAGAACATTCATCATAAAATGTCCGTGAAAACTCCAGTGGTGTGGGGCGCTGGGGGTTGTGAGGAAACAACCTGAATCATAAGTGCCTCTTTCTTCCATTTTATTATGTATACACATCATAAATGGGTCCCGCCCACTGAATGCCAGGAAGACAACTTTGGCTAACAAGCTAAACCTTTTTAAAAGAGAGATAGAACTTTCCAGGAGCAGAGGATTCTACACGCTGTGGAATTTTCCTCCGGTAGAGTAGTTTACAAATCTCTTCATGCACATATAACACAAGTTTGGGAGTATCCTTCAGCCCATTCTAACCCACCAAACTTCTGAATGCACGGCAGTGCAGTGAAGGGCTTGTGATTTTCACAGTCCTGAAGAGGAGATTTCAAAATCAGCTGACCAAAGTCTCCGATTATAAACAGGCTGCTCAACTCGCAGTGGGCCAACTGGCATCAAAGACTGGTCACAGGTTCTCAGGCACAGAAGAAAATGCCACAAGTTCAGTCAACACTGGGAAAGCACTCATCTGGGTTCCCAGAAAACCAGCGCATAGTGTGTGAAAGGACTGGAGGCCTCTGCTGGTCAGCCATCTCTGTAGGACCCGCCATTCAACCACCGAAACTCATTTTCGAGAAGCAAGTTTTTATAAGCAGATTCTATTTGGCCTATGGCTTGGGAAATCTGGAACTGAGCCCTGAAAACAGACTGGTCTTTATCAAACTGGCAAATGCCTTTTCCCTGAGACGTGCAGAAGGGCGAGTGCTCTGCAGAAATATACATGGGCTATCCACCCTCCACTGTACTAGGACTTACTACCCCAGGATGGTATATTACAGACTTGAGGGACACCCTTAGATTGTTTTCATTTTTTTCAAATCAACTCTTAAAGTCCTTTCGATGTTTGATAACCTTCTGATTTCAGAGGAGTTATCTATTATAACTTATCAACGGCTTTCTATTTCCACTTGTAGGAGAAAGTCAAATTCTAATTAAAAGGGCAATCATGAAAGGGACAGTTGTTAAGTGTAGAAAATCAAAATAAGGACCAAAATAGCAGACTCTGGCCATTTATCAATTTTATTGTTTGAAGTAGCTTCCCTTCCAGAGCACTGCCTAATTTGGAAGTGGTGCTGCAAAAAGCAGTCAGTGATCTGTGTGTTTCAGAAAGCAGAACAATAAGAAAATGAGGGTGGATGTGGCCAGAGGGCCTGAGCCCTAAACACTAACAGCTAAGATCTGGTTATTAATGAGATGTCTTAGAGCAGCGGTCCCCAGCCTTTTTGGCACCAGGCACCGGGTCATGGAAGACAATTTTTCATGGTTGGGGTTGGGGGTGGTGGGGGCTGGGAGTGAGGCGGAGCTCGGGTGGTGATGCGGCCCAGTTCCTAACAGGCCATAGACCGGTACCAGTCCATGGCCCAGGGGTTGGGGACCACATTCTTAGAGAATAAAATTGAAACTATCATATCCTAACAGACCTTGGTTTATAATAAGGTAATTTGTATGCGATTTAATGTTATTTTGTATTAAGCATTGTTAAGTCAAGGTAAACTATTGCCTAAAACTGGAGATTCTGGCATTTTGAATATTAAATACTACTTTTCTTAGCAATACATATACATTGGGAAAATAATCTCATTTTAATAGACCTTACAAGAGATGTTCTATGTTGCTGTCAATGGCAACATCATACTTCATATATTTTACAATTCTCCTTCAGTATTGCAACACATTGACATTTCTTTCAAAGGCCAGATATAAAGATGATAATGACTATTTATGAAACTTGCTGTGGTTTTATAAGGTTGGTAAAGATCATATATCAAAAAAGCAACATATGACTTTAAGACTGCCTTGTTTATGACAGATTATGGGACATGTAGACTATGGTATGGACAGGGTGGTATCATGCCATTTGGTACATACTTATTTATATAAGTAAAAATGGTGCAGAAATGGTCTTTATCATATGACATCTATTTTTATAGTTGTGTGTTACAGTAAATTATAAGTGAGACACTGGTTGAAAACACTATAGAAGCATATTTAAATGAGCAAAATACTAAATGGTTTCACAATTCTTTCCATTTTCAGAGACTATGAGCCTGGATTTTTTTTTTTTTTTTGCCAGATTAAATTAAAATGAAACAGTAAATATGTGTTGATGTTGAGTACTGTCTGTCACCATTGGTGACAATATAAGGTGGCACAGCTTTAGTGAAAAACATTATAACATTATGGCTGTATTCATAAAAAAATCTTAAAAATAGTACCCCCTTTAACCTACCACCGCCTCAGTGGAAAGCAACATATTCATCAAGACCTTAAAGATGTGCATATTATTAGAACTAGTATTCCCACTTCTAGAAATCTGACCTCAGAAAATCATCAGAGAAAAGTTCAAAGACAAAGAAAGATGTGCTTACCTAAATGTTATTTATGTTAGGGAGAAAATGAAAACATTCTAAATGTCCAAGAAAAAGTTAATGATTAAATAAAGTAGAAAACTTTCAAACAACGGAATATTACCTACCTAGTAAATATCATGTACTATAAGATTTTAAGGAGGGAAAAATAATAAAAGTGAAATAAGGAGTCAAAAGATAAATAAATTTAAAGTTTTTATTTTAAAATAGTTATTTTTATATGAAATAAATAAAAGACTGAAAAGTAGCATACCATAATTGTAACAATGGTTATCTCCAGGCAGTGATTTTAATGTTCTTTTTTATACTTTTTCAAATTTACTCCCATGAGCACACGTCATTTATATAATCAATGAGCAAAGAATTCCAGATATTTCAGTGCATACCTTATGATGGCTTTCACTGCAAATCTGACCACTGTGGAGAGCAGGAAGAGTGGGGTGACCAAGATGTGGAAGAGAGACAGCGAAGCAAAGGCCTCGGCCGGTTTCAGATTGTTCTTGCTGGTATACGCATGGGCCACAAATGTCTGTGCAGAGAAAGGAGATCTTTAGAGAAAGCTGGAGAAAGTTTTATACATGCTCGCATTCAATTTTGGAAACCTAACATATTCTGCTATGTTAATATGTCCATTGCAACTATGAAAACATGACTTTACCAAAAACTCCCTAATTAAAACAACAGTTGCTATTGGTGAGTACTTAATTACATATCATGCTAGCAGTAATCTGGGAAGAAAGTCAGGACAGATTTATTGACAGATTAGGAAACTGACTTCTGTCAAATTACTGAGTAGGGGGATTAATGGGGTGGAAACCTAGAGTTTTCAACAACCAGTCAGGCCCTTTCCAACCAATATTAAACATTCCAGGAGAAAAGAGAATGCTCTCTTGTTTTAGGGGTCCTTAATGTCGACCTTTACTAAAACTGCCAACATTGGTGTCCAATGAAGACTTATTTACATTTCTACAGATAATATTAGTTGCTGGGTTTATCATCTTAGTGTGAAATATAATGTAATTATTTAACATTTTCCATTTGTTGATCTAGCTCTACCCTATTGTAAAAATATCTGGGAACCAGGTCATTGAGATTACAACAGTTAATTCTCAACCAGCTATTAATTTTGCTCCCCAAGGGACATTTGGCAATATCTGGGGATGTCTTTGATTGTCATGACAGAGGGTGCTACTGGCATCTGGGAGGTAGAAGCCAGGGATGCTATTAAACATCCTAAAGCAGAGGACAGTCCCCTACAACAAAGTGTCCATAGTGTCATGATTGAGAAACCCTGGATTAGAACTATTGCAATGGAGACTGCACAGAGGGAAGTCACAGAGGTGAGGTAATATATATTACTACCCACATACTCTTGTTCATAAATCATTCATAAACACCGACTTGGTTCAATTTCTAAAAGCAAGAAAAAATGTCTTACAGCAAGAACAGCTGCTATGGGAATTGCTGCATTCATGAAGACTGTGGAAAGAAATCAAATACATTAGTTTCATTGATCTGTGCAAACATTTTCAGTAACCTTAATTATTCATCTATTATTACTTTAACTTTCCTTGAAGACAGAAAGGACAAAGTGTATTAAATAACATTTTTCTCGAGGCCACAAACATTTCCCAGTTGATATCTCCTACTCCGCAGTTGTATGAGCTTCCACATGTTAGTCTTAACCAGAATCTGTTTTTCTTTATTGAAATTTTTTTTCTTATGAAATGTTACAAACAACAGAATTCGGATAAAGAATCCTTTCATTATACAAATTATTAGAATTTAACAAATGTGCATTCTTGAGAGGGTTTACAGTCTCTATTTTGCTTGGTCCACCAAACTAATTCAAATCAATAAAAATCGGGTTATTACACAGATTTAAAACAAGAATCTGACATCACTTCAAGTTCTCTTTCCAGTACTGATACTAGCGGTCACTTACAGATCTTTCAGTTAATAAAGTTATTCCAGTCCCTGAGCCCTCTGCTTGTTTAAATATCTCTGCAGGAATATATTTCACTCTCATTTGATGAGCATGACATGCCTAGCTGAAACAAGAAAAACTCATATTTGAAGAGAAAATAGGAGCTTTGGGGAATAACAGCAAAAATGAAAACCCAAGTGAGTGATTTATAGTCATAAACTGTAGAATTTTAAGGACGAAGGGCCTAAAGATTAAGTGAATTGTTGGTAACAGAGCCAGGCAATGCAGAGTGGGACCCACAGTCTAGTTTTCTTGACAGTACAGAGCCAGGATTTAAAAAACTCATCTGCTTTCATGAACCATCCTTCGCACTATGCACAAGACATAATCAGATTGTGCGTTTGCAGGTCCAGACGTGACTTAGTTATCAAACACAAACTCCTGCACATCCCTAGGAATCCAAACACTGATCTGAGCTTCATAGTAACACAGATGGAGCCACAGCTCTGCCTCTGACTTCTTTCTCTGGTTATTGTCACCCTATTATCTAAGTGCATTTTTTCTCTTATTTATTCATCATTATTTGTTATTTCTCTCTTTTTTTTTTTGTTTGAGACAGAGTCTCCCACTCTCTTTCCTGGGCTAGAGTGCCATAGCATCAGCCTAGCTCACAGCAACCTCAAACTCCTAGGCTCAAGCGATCCTCCTGCCTCAGCTGGGACCACAGGCACGCGCCACCATGCCCGGCTAATTTTTTCTATTTTTAGTTGTTTGGCTAATGTCTTTCTATTTATGGTAGAGACAGGGTCTCGCTCTTGCTCAGGCTGGTCTCAAACTCCTGAGCTCAAGCAATCCTCCCACCTCGGCCTCTCAGAGTGCTAGGATTACAGGCGTGAGCCACCGCGCCCGGCCTGTCATTTCTCTTATTCGTCATTATTTATCATTAATTTATATTCAGCACATTTAAGTAATCTCCCCTTGAGGAGGAAGAATGAGAATAACTACTGTCATTTTATTAAAAACTATATGGCAATCTGCATCAGGTACCAGTAGCAAGAGCTCTTACTACCTCGATATAAAGATGAGAACGAGAAGCTCAAGGCCATGTGGTGGGATTCGAACCCATGCAGTCTAGCTCCTCAGTCTGTGCCTGGCACCATATTGTTCTGCTACTACTCAACAACTCACAATTACTGAGGCATGATGTTAGTGTTTTACATACATTCTCATATTTAATGATTACAATGACAATACACAACAATAAGGAAGCCATTTAGGAAGGGTAACATGCAAGATTCTAAACAAGGAGGTGATAAAGCTTGGGACAAAACCCAATCTTTCTGGTCCAAAAGATTCATGTTCTTTCTACTTCTCCATATAAAACTCAATCAAAATGGAGAGAGAAAAGTAAATGGTGTCTTTTTACCTTTACTAATGAATTAAATCCATAAACAAAACATGACCATTTAATAATGGAGACTAGGAAATTGTTAATAGAATTTCTTTTCCCCTCAAATATTACCTGAAGTGGCAAGAACACTGATTCATAAAAGTAGAAACGAATCTTCAGTTCTGCTGGTATTTGTTCTGTTTAACTTTGCTTCTTGGTATTTGTAGCTACCATTGAGTACTTTTATGCTTCTAAACACTTTTCCAAAAACTTCACATACACTAGCCTTATTTAATTCCCCAAGGAACTGTGAATACATCCCAGCTCACTGATGAGGAAACTGAGAATTCACCAAGCAACTGACCAAGAGTATACAGCAGACACATTGCTGAGTCAGGATTTGATGTCAAGTTACCTTGCCCTCTAGGACACAAGGGTAACCACTATCCTATATAGTTGAAATTTTTCTTTTTCTTCCTTTTATTTTTCCTTTTGTATTGCATGGTGCTCTACAAATACTATTCATAAAATATTTTCACATTTGCTAAACAATGTCGCATGTTCTGCCCCATTTGATTCTCACAAGCTACCTGTGTCAAAGGTATTATTATTACACCAATTTTTAGATAAGAAAACTGAGGGACAGAGGTTATTGAGCACTAGACTATTTGCCAGGTGCTTCAGAGGAGGTCATGAGTATGAAGCACTTGGCACAGTGCCAGGAGTATAGAGTGCACGCTCAGCAAACATTTGTATCATTCATTATCTACTTCAATCTTTACTCCAATCCTACATGGGAGATATTATTATCATTCCATAATACAGATGAAGAAACTGAGGCTAGGAGGATATAAGTAACTTGCTCAAGGCCACACCACTACAAAGTGGCAGAGCTGGGATTTGTAGCCAGCTCTATGAAACTCACATAATTCAAGCTCTTAACCATCAACAACACAACACTATATTTGGTCGAATCAAAACTTGAAGTGGTCAAACTGATATTTTGCTCCATTGACTCAAGAATTCCTGCTGTCTATCACAAACACACGATCGTGCATTTTACCTGTATGACTTCTTTTGTTCTCCGCTAGTATGGCCTCTTCTCCCCACTCCTGTTATAGCTGACTTTCAAAAACCAACCTAACTCTTACCTCTGGAGACAGGCAAACTGGGTTAGTTAATTTCTCACCTCTGCCATTAGTAGCTGGATGGTTTGGGGGCAGTTCAAATTACTTAAACTCTTTACACCTCAATCTTTTAATTCCTTAAGTGAAGTTAATAATAGAATCTAAGTTATTGGGCTGTTGTGAGGATTAAATGAGACGATATATAAAAAGTCACTTATGGCAATAATTGGCTGAGTATACTCTCAACATATTTTTGTTGTCATTTTTGCTGTCGTGACAATCATTATTTCTGGTTGCATTCACTCTCCCCATGAGAAGGTCAGCCCCCTGCAGGGAAGGGTGCATTGTAGGGCCCATCAGTTTCGAGTACAACTGTACAAGCAAGTAAATTTCAATCATTCTGTCTTCTAGCATTCTGATACCATATTAACAGTGGTGCACAGCTGGAAGATAAAATTCCTTCCAATTTCATTTTTAATGCATCAAGCATTAGGGCTAGAATAAATGAGCTATATAAGCCAAATATTTTCTCTGAGTCTGTTTCACAAAAGAGTTTTAATCTCTAAAATCTAAAGCACTTTGTAATTCAAGAGGAAACAATATTTAAACTTTGAAACTAAGTTGTTAAAGATCTTAGGAATGATAGCAATGAGCAAAACTGACACACAAATCAAATCAAATATTAGTGGGAATAGTCTGGCTAAGTTTGTGTGAATTGTATTAATACTACTACGAACCCACTATTCTCGAAAGTACTCAGAGTTTACACTTTGAGAAAAGAAAATAATGTTTTTGAAATAATTTCTTTTTAAAAATTAGAGTTGAGAGTTGAGCTCTGTATTTAAAAATTCTTGAAAATATATTGGGAAAAAGGATTGCCTATGAATGTAATTTGGCTTCTTTCACCTGGAAATGACATTTTTTCCTCCTCAATTTTCAAAAATGGCTATATTTTCTTTACAATCTTCAAAAAAAATTATATCTTAAGCTCTCAAAGAGA